CTTTGAGAATTCCAATTCATGATAAAAAATTTTTTTATTTTCATGCTCAAAAACTAACAAACATCCCTCATTCGATCGCGCTTGACATAGATACTGAAAAGCCAATTTTTGTATTGTTATAGTCTCTTTATTTACTAGAGAAATATCTTTTTCAAGGTCTGATAACCAGGACCATCGAGAATGTCTCAAATAAGACCTAATGACGCAATTTCTACCTGTAAACCGACTATCTAATGAGATGTCCTTTTCATTAAGCACATCACCAATATTGCGTACAAAGAACGAAGACAAAGGTCTCCGACAAATATAATAAAATTTGCTTTTATCGTTCTTTATTTCGTTGATGATATTAATCATTTCTTTTTGACGACGCAAATTGTCAACATTGAAAAATGAAAATTTTATTGAAACAAGATAGCCAATTTCCTGCTTAATTCTTAGTTCGCAAAAGCTGATTGGAGATATCTTTTCACCTTCCATCTGATTAAATACTTTCACAAATACATTTTCAGTTGCAGTAAATGTAGACCAATCTGATAAATACTTTTTAATAATGGCTAATCGTTCTTCAATCATTACCGGAAGATGTTTATGCTTCTTATCTTCAGAAGACAAATCCAAAGTCATGTTTGATTGTAATGTCTCAGATAATATTAAAACATCAAACTTTGCGTCATCATACCAAAAGTTAATATTATGAGTGCTCTGTTCAGTAGTAGTCCACAATTGCCTTAAAAAATCTAACCTAGTAGTAGCGGTCATTGGACGTAATTGTAGCTTGTTGTTATCTCTAGGCGTTTTATGTTTTTTGAGAAGCTCATCAGTATCTAAGATAGTTGTCAAAAAATTATACAACCTCATGAATTTCCAAAAGAGTGGATGATTCGGATCATTATTTTGTCGAGCCGTCTGAAAATTAAGCAGATAGATGTCTAGCTCAGTGTCTGCAAGCACGTGGATCTCAATCCTAAGAGCTCTAAGTCGGGATAACCCATTCAATTCACCAGTCCACTGTCCTTTAATTTTATATTGAATAGTAACATCTGGTAACCAAAGCCTTGACATTGCTATTGTAATCACCTCTGCTTTGTTATTGCCTTTTCCCGGACTCAAAATTATATTATCGACGTTGAATCCATGACGCATCCGGACAGATATGAGCTGTTGGACATCAACAAATATAGAATATTCTAAAAACCGCGCAGGCATAACCTCGATCTCAGGAGGTTGACTTCTCGGATCCCAAGGAAAATTATATGAATTACAATCGCTAGTGCTATTCAAATATCTTGTTTGATTTCTCTTTTTGACAAAATGTGTTTCCCTAATAAGCAAGTGTTCATGGTAGAAGTTGAATGTGCGATATTCACTTTGTGAAGAGGATGTAACAGATGAATTATCGTCAGAAATGTCTGGACAATTTTCAGAAAATAGGAAGACACCAGATGTAGCCGCAGCAACAAATTGTAGAACCTCAATATCAGGAAGTAATCCAAAGTTGCAACATGGATCAAACCCCTGATGCGAACCGACCTGAATGATATTGCATCTTATGCCCTCTTTGCAAAGTTGTTGTATTATGTCATCGTCCGCAGACATTTGATCGAGAGTTGATTTAACAACACCATCTGTGATAACAATTAAAGAAGGAAACCCTTCATCGGGTAGTAAGTTTTTAGCAAACAAACCAGCATTGAGGCTATAAGCAAGGTTTGCTCCACTCGAGCCTAATCTCCACAAATTTTTTTTATTATCCAAGAAAGTATCAACTTCAACGTCATGGTCATCTTCAGTCTTTGACCCGACCACATCCATCTCATATGCTACTGGAAATTTAGCCCTGCAAAGCCTTTGCCGCAATTCCGCCACTTCTTGTTGAAAGTTAGTGAGCTCCATGTGCAAATTCTTGATAATATCAGACACATTGTTCTTTGTCACGATAACACCATTTAAAAGAACCTTCATAGTAGGAAAGTCCCTTATCATAGGCAGTAAATTTGCGTTGGACGCAAAATGAGAACTTTCGGCTATAACAGTAATCGATATTTCGGGTTCAAACTATTTAATAGAATAGGAAGTAAATTAAGCACACTATTGAAATTCAAAAGTATGTAGGTACTAACATGTAATGCTTTATCTCTATCCAAATCTTGAATAGTAAAAGGCTGCACTAGGCCTTCAATACATCGATTAAGACTATAAAATATGCATTCCCACATAAGATTATCGAAAGATAAAAATCTTAAACAAAATATATATATCATACACTTTTATCGCTTCAGATATAAGTACGCCCTTCGTGTTGTTATAATAAATAGTTGCCATAGAGGTCGTAACATCCAGAATAAATATCACGCGATATTTTGTACATAATGTGATAATACGAGTATTCGGCATTAATTTGTACGAAATATCATCGTCCTCTTGAAAATCAGGTAAATTCTGAGGTGTGTACACATCATTTGCTTTCCTTTCATTTTGAGATCTAATTAACGAACTGAGTTTGGTGTTTGATACATACAAAACTTGAATGTTCTGTAAACATTTTGTGAGAGATACGATTATTTATGAACTATTATCGATCAAAAGGATCCATATTAATTTAGATATACCTCGTCTCTTTCATGATGAAGAGGTTTAAAGAGTCGTTTAAGAAGCCATTTATGGTGATCAACTTGTGTAAAGTGGGGTTTCCTGACGAGCAGTATAACAGTTCTCGCTTCGGAGCTCTTGAAAATAAATCAGCACAAACAAACGTAAATGCTAGTAGAAAAATACACTAATTAACCATTTCAAAATAAAAGTATTCTAACCTCTCGAATACTCGTCCCATTAGACGTCCGGTTTGCTAACGTCGTCATAATTTCATATTTATTGTTAATGCTTCCGAATAATGTAAATAACAGTTGCTTGATAAGATATATAAAGCACTTGGATTAATCGTTACACCAGGGTTCGGGTTGGGAACATTGTTAAACCCGACCCACCGCAGCAAAGGGTGCAATGAGCCAACCAATCAGATTTTAAGATTTTATAATACAGTCAGACCTCTCTAAGTGCACGCCATTGGGACCACACTTTAACAACATGTATTTAGAGATTAATAAGAAAAAGTACATTTATAGAGGTAAAGTATGTATTTGGACCAGAATCTGTGCGTGCATTTAGAGAGGGTGTGCACTTATTCATTTATTATAAAACGCACCTATGGTGGTTTTGCATCTAATATATTTTTATGTTTTTAGATCTTTTTAAGTTTTTTATACAAAATTTTTATCACAAAATTTTTCATATTGGGGTTAATTTTTAGGGTTAAAGTTAAGATTTAGAAAGGATTTTTGGCGCATAGAACATTATATTTAAGGCATTTCACATCGATTATTAGTTAGTTTTTGAGATAATATATAAAAATCATTAAAAAAAAACCCCAAAAATTTAAATATGAATTTAATATTAAAATTTTTGGATTTTCTTTTAGTGATACTTATACACAGGTTAAATACCAAAATATCAGACAAAATATTAGCTGTCCGATATTCCTATATATAATAATGATATTTTATCAAGATATCTATAAGAAATATACATAGATAGATCAGGTTAGAGTTTGTTTATTTTTGAACTTTTTTGTGCAGATTATTTTTATTTATAGTAATTAGTTTGTTTATTTTTGATTTTTTTCTTGTAGATCTTTTTATATTTAATAATTTTTATAAAATCTTATTCTTTAGTATATATTTCAGGATCTTTTTATAAAGAATATAGGTCAATTATATCTTGCCAAAATCAGATTGAAATTTTAGCTTTTAAACCAAAAGTATTAGTAATTATTAGCTAAAAAAATATCTTACCAAAATTAGAGAGAACAGGTATCAGTTATCAATATTATTTTGAAAAAATATATATTATTTTTATATAATATATTGTTTAAGTATAGTTATTTATATAAAAATTATTGTATAATAATAAAGTATTTTATCAAATATATATATATAATTCTTAAATATATCAATATGCATAAAACATTAGTTTTCAATTATTTTGAAAATAGTAATAAATCATATTTTATAATCTGAATAATAAAATTATATATAATTAGATATTATATTTTTTATTTAACAGAATTATAAATATATATTCATAAGGTTTTCATGAACTAATAGTATAGGTACTGGTAATAAATATATCTAGTATGTTATATATAAGAATTATGCAATCACAATCTACATCATAAAACTTCTTATTTCATAATTTCATATTACATAGTTTATTATCATTTTTGCTAATATTAAGATAATATCTTAATTTTTCATCTTTTACTTTTTTATACCAACAAATATATATGAGATTTTGCTTTATTAACATTTCTGAGTAGTCAATAGAATGTTCAAAAAAAACTAAACCTGGCCTGGATATATAGTCATATTATTATTATCTAAAAATTTTACAAGTATTCTTAAAGAATTTTCATGTCTTTTTAAAAAAGTTGAACTAAAAACTTCTGCACTTATTTGAGTTCTTTTATATTAGTTTATAATAGATGATATAGCTATTGATCTATCTAATGCTAAATTTACTGAATGAATGAATATATTAGTTTTATATATACTATTATAGTATTTAGTGAGTAACTTTATGAATTCTTGAGAAATATAGATTTTATTTTCTTTGGTATAAGAAAGGTTTTAGAAAATAAATTAGACCCAATACTAGTATCAATTTCTTCTTCAATTGATCTTAACATTGAAATGAATTTTATTATTTCATTATTAGATATATCATAAATATTTAAGCTTCTGGTCAATAGTTTTGAATCTAAAATAGACAAACTTTCTAATAAATAAATCTTATTAATATTACTAATTAATCTATCAATATGTTTATTTTTTTGGATAATGTTTATAAATTCTGATTCAATTTTTTTATTACTATTTTCATAGTTTCTTATAAAAAATAAAAATATATATTATATATATTACTTAGAATTATAGGTCTATTATAAGTTAAAAAAAGAAATTTGAGTCTTGAAATTTTTATTACAAATTTTTTTATTTGAATTATAATGTATAAGTGGTGGTAGAATTCAAAAAAGAAATTTTAACAATAAAAATGATTAGTAATTATTGTTAAAATTGTCTTTTTGAATTTTACTTCTATCTATATCTATGTATAAGATTGGGATTATAGATAATTTTTATATATGTAATATAATTTATTTTACAAATTTGTAATAATTAATTTTTTTTTTTTTGCTTCACTTTGGCAGATCACACCAGTACTTTTATTTAATAAAGCGATACTTGTGGAAGTACATAGTATTAAAACTACAGGTCTGACATCTTGTGGTTATCTCGCATAACCTAACCGGTTATCTATATACATCTACAGGTGATCATGCTGCACCAGAGAGATATGATCAATTAAGATAATACGCTACTGGGGGCTCATCTGACCACTACTCTACAATAGGATATCACCAATCTGATGATATATTCTCGTAGAGAAGTGAAAGAAAAAGAAAAAAAAACTTATATAAAAGAAACACAGAGATATAGAGAAATATGTAAAAAAAAAAATACAAATAAAAAAAAAGAAAGGAGTAAGAGTAAAA